GACTTGTGCGTATCAGAGAACGAGACGCTGAAACACCTCACAAATGACACAACTACTCCAGAAAGCACAGCAACCAGTGGGCAGGCCAGGGTGTCCACCCAGGCCCCCCAGGCCCTGGAGGACTCGGGCCCAGTCAACATCTGTTGCAATCACCCTGACCCTGGACCCACTCAAACCCTTCGGAGGGTATACCCGCAATGTCACCCACCTGTACTCCACCATCCTCGGCCACCAGCCTGGAGCGCTGATGACTGTGCCCTGCATGGTCACTGTGAGCAGGTGGTGTTCGCGGCCTGCATGACCCTCACTGCTGCCCTTGGGGTCTTCCCTGTAACTGTGCAGCCACCACACTGTGTCCCCGACACGTACAGCAACGCCACACTCTGGTACAAGATCTTCACAACCGCCAGAGATGCCAACACAAAATACGCTCAAGACTACAATCCTTTTTGGTGTTACAAGGGCGCCATCGGCAAAGTATACCATGCTTTAAATCCCAAGTTCACGGTTATCGTCCCAGATGACGACCGCTCACTAACCAACCGGCACCTCATGCACACCAGCTACTTCCTCTTCATGATGGTCATAACCATGTTTTGCTACGCTGCTATCAAAGGCAGACCCAGCAAATTACGTCAGAGCAATCCCGAGTTCTGTCCTGAGAAGGTGGCTCTGGCTGAAGCCTAGTCTGCTGCCTCCTGTCTTCCTGAGAGAGACTGCGAGAACCTTAGTCATTGCCTGCTGAACCCAGCCTGGGCCCGGACACTCTGTGAATACGTTGTCTTGCAATGTTGGGTTATTCCAGCCAAAGGCATTTCAAGTGCCTGTAACTGATTTGTACATATTTATAAAAATTGAGGCGAAATTGGTCCGACGATGCACGTGCTTCACACTGGTGCAGCCCGAAGCCCGTGGCCTCGTGGCGGACTTGACCGGGTGGCAGTGCCTGCCTGGGCCTTGGCGGACCATGCGGCCTCGCCCCAGGCTGTGATGCCTTCTTTGGTGTCGTGTGGCTGGTGGTGGGGCTGTGGCTCACTCTGGTTCTGCCCAGTCTGCACGGAGCGTGTGACCAGCTTGCACCTCGGATACAACTCTGCATTCCCAGAGCCACCAGGCTACTTCATGGACCCAGCGTGTCTGTGGCTTAGCAATCATAGTAACAGCGATAATACACTTTTCTCCGTTTGCTTGCAAGGAAACACACACCTATCTTTCTAAGTTTCTTTCTTTTTTTTTTTGGTATATCACTTTCTTTATTGAAAAGTATTTATTTCAAGAAATTTTTATCCACAGCTGGATATTACAGTAACTATTACAAGCATTTTTCTATACACAAATGTGTAGTTTACAGATTTGTTCAAAATGGAAAAATATTTTTATCAGTCATATTTCTTCTACAACATTAGGGTTACCCTTGAATGCATGGGCTCCTTCAGAGAATCCGTGTTTCCTCTAAACATCAGTTGATGGCAAGTGGTATATCCTAATCTGTGTTATTCTGATATGATGTTTCTTTAGAAATGAATTTAAGTCATTTATGACTGCCCTTTGTTATTTAGAGGTTGTTATTTTTAAGAAAAAACAATATTTAATATCTAATGCTATTTATAATGGGTCAACCCCTGCTGTTTTATTTTCATTGGCATTAAACTCTAATTTTCTATACCTCCCTAGTTCTCAAATTATGGCACCAATGTGTCCAAAAGTGAATTTATAGATATTTGGCTCATGCAACAAATGAAGAAAATGACTGCCGAGGAACATTCAACGAGTAAAAGTTCCTGGGTCCTGCCCCACGCGGGCACATTTTCGTAAACATTGAGTCATGGAGGCATTCTACAAGTGCTTCAATTTAGGACTCCCTGACTACCTTCAAAATTAGGTCAAGTATACAAAAACAACTTCCTGTATCCAAAAGAAAGAAAAAAAAATTCTAATTGACTGTGTTACCATAAAGGCGAAAGATTTATTCGATCTGAAGAGAAACAAGAGCATAGTTTCTTTTTTTTTAAGAAAATAAAATAGTCACCTTTTACTACTAAAAAAAATAAATAAAATAATAATTTTTAAAAAGAAAAAATACCCAACAGAGGATGGGAATGATTGTATAAACACAATGTGAATGAAGGAATGTGTGAAACACAATGTACATGAATGGAACACAATGTGTATAAATTTTATATGCAAAAAAAAATTTTATATGCAAAACAACATAAAATTTTAATAAAATAAAACACAAGTAAACAAAAAAGATGCTTGCAAGGTCTAAAATAATTGTAGGGAAATCAAGATAGCAGATTTGTTAGAGTGGTTAAATAACAATTACTTTTTTTCTTTCTAGAATTTTGTTTAAATTACAGAATATAAGTTGTATTCAACTTTACAGAACTAACAAAAAAATTCATATTGTGCATAAAATTAAAAGAGAAAATAACAAAAAAGACCTACATGAGTAAGGAAGCTTATTCCAGGTGGGCAGGAGGCCCAGCCTGGCTCTACCCACTCATCCCAGGCATGCAGACATTGGTCTCCTTTCTGCCAGGCCAGGGGCTGCTGAGGGCGGGAAGCCATGTGCTCTCCCAGCCCCCAAATGCCCCCTCACTGGCTCCGTATTCTCATAAGCAGGCCTGGTCCAAGGGTCACAGCCCATGTGCACAGCCCAGCCCACTCCACACCTAGCCCTAGCCGGGAGCTAGCATCTGGGACTTCAGTTTCTGTGCCTCTTGCAAAGGCGACAGAAAGACAGGGAGGTACCTACCACATGAGTCGCAGATGAAACAGTCAGTGTGATACAGGCTCCCCATCGCCTGGCACGCCTGCCTCGCTCCGTAGATACCAAGCCCACACTTAATGCAAATTCCTATGGGAAAAGAGGCAGGCAAGAGCAGTGGTTAGCATCAGGGGCTGGATGTACATTCAGCACGCCACTGTGATGGTGACCACACCTGAACAGAGTAGGTTTACTTCCCAGACCTCCAACACTCAGTTACACCTGACTAACCTGGGACAATTAAGGCTTGTAGCTGCTGTTGTTTTAAGGATTCAAGGATTAGCACCATCAGAACTAAATCTTCCTCAAAATCACGTTTACAAATACTTTGTGCCTAGAAAATCACTCTAAACCCTTTCATCAATGACTTGCTGTTGGAATAGGCAAGATCCTCTCTTCTGTCTGGAACCAAATCCTAGTCTACAAAATGAAATCACGTTATCTTCTGATACAAAGAATTATGACCACACAGATACACCCCAGGACAGAGACTGACCCTCACACCTCAGGACAGAGATTGACCCTCCCCATCTTTGCCCTTCTGCACCGTAAAGCTGCCTTATTCTATTTTCATCTACTACACACACACACACACACACACACACTGATGTCATGCGTCGATCTGGGTGCACAAAACAAAGACCTGAATTCCAGTGCCAGTGTGACAGGCAACAGCAGTCAATATAAAAAGTGGAAATATTTACTGTAGAGAAAAAAGCTGATAGAACTAGAATTGTCAAAAAAGACCTAACTCACTTGCATTTAAGGCCTAGCCCTTGTCTCCATTTTGGAAACTGGGTGAAGCAACTGGACTCTGTAACGTGGGCTCTCTTGTTTTTGGTTGAGGGTCACTGTGGAATTTTTCCCCCCTTTTTACTATTACTAAAGCCTCTTGTTTAGAGTCAACAAAACCTCCTGGAGGGCCCTTATATTTAATAAGTCGGGTCTGAAGGATTATCTTTTAATCCTTTGCTACTTTATTTTAAAGGAACATTCTTCTAAATCATACAGCACTCTTCTGTCAGTTTGCTGTGCTGAGGTACTCTGGGTTTGCTGTAATGCTGAACCTTGTACCATGGGGGTCTTCTCAAACGCCATAATGGCTGCCCATGGTGGACAGTGTTTGGTGGAGCTCTCAGTTTTAAGACAGGGTGGGAAGCAGGAGAAGCATCCACTTCCTAAACCACATGCCTCTGGAAACTCTATGAACTTGGAGAAACGATAGTTATAGAAAGGCTTCAGGTCTTTGTTCATGGAGTAGCTATGAGTCGTGTGCAACTCAACGGCAATCAACAACAACGACAAGGTGATATGGGAACAAACGCCGACAGGAAATGGGGGGATGGCTGGCGTGTAGTCATCTGGGATTGCTGGATGAAGCTGGGACCATCCCTGGCAACACATGGTAGAATAGAGAGAAAAAAAATGCACATAGCAGGAGAGCCTCAGGTGAACTGCTAGCCCTTGAGCATTTTCCTGGCTGACCCTCCTGGTGATCTGGACAGTAGAAAGCCAGCCAACCTCCTATAGAATTACCCAGAATCTTCTATACACACAGGGCATGAAAATGGGCTCAAGTGAATCACCGGATCCAAAGTTTTCTAGCTGCTTTTAGAACTAGTGTCCAAGTGCTGGACTGCTCACCAAAAGGTTAGCAGTTTGAACCCACCAGCAGTTCTGTAGAACAATGAAGAAGAAGTCCTCTCCTAGTAAGACTGACAGCCTCCTAAACCTAGAGAGAGGCTTGACTTGACAGCCGTGGGATTCTCTGCCTCTGTTTTCTCTCAGATTCCTCTCCTTAACCAAAGAACTTGTGAAGTCTCCCCCACCTTAGGCAATCCTTCTGTCCTCCACCAATTACCTCATTTCTGCCTCCTGCAGTCGAAGAGCCCACACTTAGTTGCTCCCTTAGTGTCTAGTTCTATAAACAGAGTTCTGATCATGCTAGAATGTGGATCATTTGCTCCTCTTCGGTTTCCAGGGTATAACCTGCACTAGGCCTTCTGCTTTTCTGGAAGCAGCTCTGTCCTGAGCCCCCCTTCCTCATGTCCTCCCAGGAGGGGAGCTCTGGTGGCCTAGTGGCAAGAAGCTGCACTGCAATCCCAGAGGCTCACGGTTCAAATCCACTAGATGCTCTGCCGGGGAAGGAGGGACAATCTCCTCCTGTGTACCAGTCAGATCTGATTTGACAGTACACACACACACACACACACACACACACACACACACACACACTAAAATTAAAAAAGAGTGAACTGGTGATGACCAGAGGTTGCAGCCCTGCCAACTGCTCCTAGAAGAAACCAGGCCCAGCATGACGAGATTCTAATGTAAAAAAAAAAAGAGCTTAGAAATCTAGCCATGAATGTATAATCCATCCACACTGAAACTAAGTTTTTAAACGCAGCGATCAAATAAACGAAGTCTGCAGATCTCCATATGAGGTCAGGCTTTCCCGTCTCCCTGGGCAGTGCCCCCTTTCCCGGGTGAGAGCCCTGCTGTCCCCCTAGCCGACTCTCTGGGTCACAGACCTGCCTCCCAGAGTAACCCACCCAGTCTAACAAAGCATCTGCACATCCAGGTCCGAGCTCTGGACTCCTTTTTGCCCACTGGCCTGATTCAGAAAACCAACTCTCACATGAACCACTCTCACAGCAGCTTTCTCCCTGCATCACCACCTCAATCCCCAATCCATAAATCACAGCCAAACTTAAAGTGAAGATGACCTACCTTCTCTTCTCCACTCTTTGTCAGTAGCTCTTTGCAATCCTAACCTTGTCATTTCTCTGATCAAGCGGCCACGGCAACCCATGAAAAGAAAAAACTCAGGAGGTCTCAGAAAGATGAAAGAGTGGGCAAGAAACTCAACCCAAACCCAATGCTGTCAAGTTGGTTCCAGCTCATTGCTGACCCTCCAGAGGGTTTCTGAAGCTACAAACTGCATAGGAGGAGACTGTCCATCTTTTTCTCCAGGGCAGCTGAGGGGACTCCAACCACAAGAGAAATATAGCATGTAGGTTAGCAAAGCAACTCCCTACAGGCTCGGCAGCTAGAGCTCCCTTATTACCTTCAAGTCAGATTGATTTTTCTAAATATGTGATTGTATCACTTCAATTGAAACATACTTACAAAAACATACAGAACTTAAAACCTGAAACTCTATAGAGAGCCCTGGTGGCCTAGGAGCAAGAAGCTGCGCTGCAATTCAGAAAGCAGACAATTCAAATCTACCAGATGCTCTGCAGGAGGAGGGGCAATATCCTCCTGGGCCAGTCAGATCTTATGAATAAAAACTAAAAACAAAACCTGTAATTCTCATTGTCACTGGGTTTGGAATGAACTCACAGCTGAACCTCCAGCAGGCTTTTGGGAGGCTATAAACGGCACCATCTTTCAAACCATGATGGATTTGAGCCAATGGAGTACTAACCTGTGAGTTAGTACCACAACTCCTCATGGACTACGCCACCAAAGAGCAAACTACACGACCCAACATGGCAGTGAGGTCCACACAAGAGCACAGCTACAGAAAACAATGCCTTTAGCAAGCACCCCAGCTGCACCCTGTCCAAATAGCTGACACATACACGTTAGGGGACTTTAGCATCATTGTTGTCGCGGGGGGGG